TCAAAACAGTGGACAGCTGATTTTCCGCTCGAATGAGAGAGCCCGCTTAAGGAAGTTTAATCCACCTCGCGGAAGATCACAGTGAAATAACCGAAATAACACAACCTTTGAGAGATGTTGTCTTTCTGTAAGTAATTGGTGTTGTGAGTAAAGTTTCAGCGCTGCACGGGGTAATGGAAAGGGTCAGAGTAGGCGACGACGGCGCGAATGATACTCTGGTATCGTAAGCGTCTATAGGCAATGGTACCTCGTGTAGTTTTGGTGACCTTATTCGATAACGGAAACGCCACACCACCAAAATAATGTAGGTAATGTAGGAAGGCCAAAGAAGATCTTCCACCGAGCTGGGTGATGGTAGCTTGGGGGCCGCCGCCCGACTGATGTTGGTCGGGCATCGTATATAAGGAGTGTTAACCTCTGAATTTTACTTGCGCGATTTAAGCTTCCATACGTAATGATCGCAACGCCGATAGCGCCATCTCTTGACTCCTCAAGACTGACTATTCCTCCATGTTGATGTGGAGTATGTAGATATCGCCGCCACAATAATTCTACTGTCGTCTGTAAAGTGAAAGCTTCTTTCTCCGAAGGGTGCTTTTTCTATTCTAGCGCAAAATCTGCATTAGTAGGACACAACATTTGTGGAGTATCTGTTCGAAAGGGGCTATTTCCATGCTAAGTAAATGTTGATAAAATTAAAAAAATCGTATACTGATTTGATGGTGTATGTGAAGTGTATTTTTTTTATTCAGGTAATTCACAAGGAAGTCACTTATTTTTAGGGTAAATTTATTTATTATTGTTATTATTAACAAGCACAAAATTCAGTATTAATTAAAAATGGAAATAGCACTTTTTGGTCGGATATTCGGAAAATAGCATCTTTTGATCTGGAATGATAATAAAATTAGCACCAATAAATAAACTTTTTGTAAATATTTTTTTATTGGAAGCTACATTTATGCCAAAATATAAAAAAAAAACAACTTGGCATTGATTAATTATCATTACTTTAAAAGATAAAAAAAATGTTATCTTAAAAAGTAATGAAAATTTATTAATGCAAATATTCGTCGTTTTATATATATATATGGCAAAAATTTTCAAGCTTCCAAATAAAAAAAAAAACAAAATCTTTGATTAAAAAAATATTATGTGTCGAACTTTTAAATGAGCTAAAAATAGCACCGTTTGAATGCAACCGCGAATTTAAGTTCAAATTTAAAGGGGAAATTATCACTTTCGATCAAGACTACAGACAGGCTGTGATAAGATCTTAGAATACCAGTAGAATTCACGAAAAAAAAGCTATAAATCAGTAAATACAGAAATAGCCCCCTTTGAACAGACGCTCCTCATTTGTTTTTGGTTTCCCCCTAGGCGGGGCAGCGGGTGTAAAATCTTCATGATTGCCCTACAACCGGCTTTAGGGTATGTCAGACTCTTACTGACTAAAACACCCGTGGGGGATGCCTCTGGTCATAAGGGCCTTACAGGGTTGATGCGTTCAACCACTGAGAAGGGGATAATGCAGCGCTACCTTAGTAAATACTACTGCATACTGCGCTTAGAGGACGGATGAACTCTGATGTGCACCCGTACCGGATTGAGACTGAGCGACTGAAGGTCTCTCAGGATCGGGAGCGAGCACAGCGAATTTTGTGTGCTCTGAATTTGACTGCTCTCGTCTGCTGCCATATGCTTAGAACACGATTCAATAACGACCGGAAGACATCGCGATTGAACGTATTGAGGAATAAAGTTGTCTATATTGTTTTAAATTTTCATGATCATTAACATTATAGCTATTAACGGGATTGTTACCATGTACCTTGTTTTTTATAAAGCTCCATGATCATGGCGCTTGCAAGTGCCGAAACATCGAAGACTCATAAAAAACAAGGTACTTACATGATAACAATCCCTTCAATAGCTATAATAATAGAGATATCTGTGGCAATTTCTACACAAGGTAGTTCTGTTTCTTCTGGTAAGAATAATTCACTTCAGTTTGCTATTTGTGTTCGCTATTTGTAAACTTGACATCAGTTTGTCCTTTTCTTTATTTATAAAGCTTACTAAGGACCGACTGTTGTCAGGTTAACATATAGCAAATACGAATTGACAATAGTTCTGGTATAGTACTTAGAAATGCTTATTTTCTGGTTTTTACCATTAGAAGAGCCACCTCATAGTTTTGGATGTTTCTTGATAAATTTCAATGTTAGTTTTCTTGACGGTCGCAGTGGCACCATTTCTTATGCAATTCAATTCATTTATGTCACCCATTTAGCCAAATATGGCTATATAATAAATCACGTTGACCAAGTATAATTAATAAATTATACTTGGTCAACGTGATTTTTTGCCATTGATTCAATTGTACTTTTTTAGTATCTATTGTGTACAAATATTAACTGTTTGAGACAGACAATGTGAGGCAGGTTAATACTAGTATAAAAATAAATGACAAGCCTGTAGAGTTAGTGGATTCTACAAAGTTTCTGGGTATTGTTTTAGACTCGCATCTGCAATGGGATCCTCATATTCATATTGATGCCTTTTCAAGTAGACAGAGCTCTGCAGCTTTCGCTATTAAAAAAGTAAGACTTAACTGATGTAGAAACGACTATATTGGTTTACTTTGGTTACTTTCATAGTGTTATGTCATATGGCCTTTTGTTGTGGGGTTCTAATATCAAGTATTTTCATAGTACTGCAAAAGAGAGCTGTTCGCGCCATATACAAAAGACAAGATAATCTCTTACAGAAAAGTTTAAAGAAATCAAACACTGGCATCGCAATCCATTTATAAAAATAAATGTAAGCAAAAACTATGACGCATTTGCAAAAAAGTCAAACACATAACTTTAACACGAGATTTAAGAACAAGCTTGCCGTTCCATGTTTCAGACTCCAAAAATCAAGAGGTTCATTTCTGGGTTGTAGTATTGCATTGTTTAATAAAGTTCCCCAAGATGTTGTCACTATTAGTTCCCGTTTATTTTGTGAACTATCTAAAAATACACAGGGCTCTGAGTCTGGAAAAACAAAAAATATTTAGTCATAACTAAATATAGCCGCGACAAGAGAGCGTGCCCGACTAAATGCATGTCGCAATTACCTGATTTTCGTATTGCCAAATTATAAGCTTGTATGACGTATCTATAAAACATCAAAGAGACAGCAAGTTGGTATTTCGAAATGCCATCCCAAAGGTGACTGCAATATGCATAATCAGATCGGCTTTGTAAAGGGTTAAAAGCTGTCCAGGCGTGCTGTTAAAAGACCCAGCTTTCTGGCTACATAAGTTTCAACAGACTGTAGCAAATATATATGTTTATGGTTGAGTAATAATTGTAAAAACACACGAAAATTTGGCTTATAGATCAGCTTAAAAACTGCGTAAGGATGTAATAACTTTCAGGTTTTTGCTCAAAACATGGTTTAAGCTAGGGACCGTAAAACTTAAAATGTCAGGTGGGCCGATAGATGTATCTGGAAGTATATTTATATTTTTCTCTTTTATGGGGCCCCTGGGTCACAGCCCCGCCTGCCCTGACAAATCTGGCCCTGGTCAAGGACCTTGAGGCCATGGTGAAAAGATTTTTTCTGGGGTGAACAGACATGCTTGCGTCTTTGATTGAAGCATTAACATTACTCTCTCATAAATTGCACTTTCTCACGTATCTTTCGACAGCCAGGTTTATTGTGATAAGCGATCTTCGGCATCGAGAAATTGCAGCGCGTTAAATGGTTGTTTGCGTAGAACCCATAGAGCCGGTATCCAAACGCGATTTTTTTAATAACAGCGTGGTTAATAAATTTGTACTTTCTGTTGCCGAATGAACTACAGATTTATCAGGCTTCTGCAAGGGAGTGTGAGACGGCAAAGTTAATTCGACTGATTTTAACCGGGATCAAACCGGAATAAACGCAAGGTAGTATACCTATCATACAAATTTCTTTATGCGGTTGATGTGGTCGAATCTAACCTTGGCGGCAGAAATATAACTTCTCTTCACTCGAATCTTTTGCAATCTATTGCATCAATATCTTATTTATAAGAAGGAAAGGTATTTCGTCACAGTATAAGTAGTGAAAAACTCCGTGCGACAAAAATATGAAATGGTTCAAATATTTACTAGATCATCTTGAACCATTTTTGTGAAATTTTGCCGCCTCTGCTACCCCCACTATGCTATGCCACTGGAAATAACACTACCTTTTGGTGATGTTGTGTTTCTGTCGGTGATTAAGGTTCCAGGTAGGTATGTACGTAAACAATTTTTGCAACTCAAATCTACTCACATTTAACATCAAGTTGTGTAAGATAATACTTGTATACAGTTGTGGTAGATGTACATCACAAATAATTAAAATTAATAAAAACAACAGAAAGACGATGTAACTTCAAGGACCTCCATAATCTGTGTTAATCAACCAAAGACGAAATTATTCTTTAACAATAATATCTTTATTTTGGGTATAAACACAAGTGATGTTTGACCAGGGATCTTACCATGAATTTTTATTTACTGATGATATAAAATCACCGATCGAAACAGATTCTATTCATTCCAGTGTTGTTTCCACAGACATAGATAGTTTCACTTCAATAATCCTAAATCAGTCGCACCGAGAATTCATGGTAGTTGACCTTTCAAATCAAAGTGAGGAAGGACATAGCGGATTTACCGCTTGAATTCGAGCGCCCGTCTGGTAAAGTAATCTCCACCTTACAGAAACCCACAGTAAAATAACACTACTTTTTGGTGTTTCTGTCGGTAATGTTTCAGTCCACACGGGGTACGGGATTGGGTCAGGGTAGTAGAGTGATATTTTTTGTATCGCAAACTTCTGTAGGCTATGGTGGCCGTTACCTTCAGGCGGGCCATATACTAAATCAACAGATTTTTTGAATGATATCCTTTTGTCGTGTGGCGGTCGATACGAAGCTAAAGCAACATCGTAAATAACAAAATTCTCTTTTGTTTCAGTACGGACGAGGACGCGCGCCAAGCGATGATGCTGGACTGTGGCAAGATCAAGGAGATACAAGTGAAACTTCTCCTCAGTTCTCGCTCAGAGATGCACAAGGTGATAGAGGCGGCACGGCAGAGCGTGCCCATACTGTCCTTAACGGCCCCCGCCCCGGCCCCAGTAGCCCCGGCCCCCGCCCCCACTCCCATTATACCCACCATCACGCCCTTCTCGTCCGCATTGGGCACTCACCCACTTAACAGCTTCGGCATCCCCGGAATAGGCAACCCCAATGAAATACCACAACCAGCAGTCATAGAACCGCCAGCGCCACTTATCAGCCCCCCCACAATAACTACTAATATGGATGAGGAAAAAGACGAAGATAAAGGTGATACTAAACGCGGCCGCGACAAGGAGAAGGATAGGCGTCGGTCGCGCTCCAGGTCTCGATCACGCGACAGAGACAGGAAAGACAGGAAACGTGATCGCCGTGACAGGTCGCGGTCGAGGGAGCGAAGGCGCAGGGATCGTAGCCGCAGCAGAGATAGGTCGGGTCGCGACCGCAAGCGAGACAGAAAGGAACGCAGCCACTCCGTCGACCAATCACCGACTCGCCGCGCCCGCGATAGGAGAGAACGCAAATCCCCAAGAAACTCCCAAGAGAAGAATGACGAATCTCAAAGTAACGATTCGTTCGCGGCCGCCGCTCCCATGATGGGTAACATGATGAATCCGCTAATGCCGCCGCAGATGCCACAAATGCTGCAACCCAACATGATGATGAACGGCATGCCCGATGGAAACGCGCAACAGAATCGCTTCAACGATCCTTCTCTGACAGACGCGTTTAACAAACTGCATGAGTTAGGGAAGAAGCGCAACCCCAATGCTTTCCAGGGCGAGCAGCAAAACGGGGGTGGAAGGTTCCAAGGAGCCCGCGGGGGCGGTAATGTGGTTCGTGGAGGCGCTAGTTTCCGTCGCGAAGGTCGCGTGTCTCGCTTCGACAACGATCAGCCACAACGCGAGTGTTGCGTCGCCATCAGGAACGCTCCCAACCACACGAGCTACGGCGACGTACGCCGTTTCTTCCCGTTCGTCATCGACAAACACGGGATCAAAATGATTAACGACCACCTCGGTCGTCGCACTGGCAACATATTCGTCAAGTTCTGCGACCCTCGCTCCAAGCAGCTGGCCCTGCAGCGGAAACACAACGAGTTGAAAGGCGCCCAAGTGGTAGTCGAGCCGCTGGACGACGAAGCATACGATGGTGCCATAGACTCCTTTTTGCCGTACCGGGATGATAACGACGAAGAAGACCCCTCCCTCGTCATCGCCGACGAGCCCAAACAACAAATATACACCGTCATAAAACTGACCGAGCTGCCCAACTTTGTGAAAGAACAGGATATAATAAAAACTTTCAGCGACTTTTCGCTTTTGTCAATAATGCTGAACGACTGCCGAGTCACCCGATCCAAGATCGCGTTCGTGCAGTTCGTCAAACCCGAGGACGCTAAAGCGGCTTTCGATAGACGTGAAAGATACATATTCGGTCGTCGGCATCCGACCATAACTCCGGTGAGCGACGAAGAGTATGAGAAAGAGAAGCATAGCCAGAACGACAAGATGTGCGAGCCGAAGGAGAAGGTTCAAGTGGAGCCGCCCGTGGTAGAGATGCAGGCGCCTCGAGACCCGCGACAACGCCGGCAGCTCGAAGCCGCGCCTGCACCGCAACCGCAACAGCTGCAGCAGCCATTCTTCCCTGCCTCCTTCCCCGGCCAACCGGGCTTTGTACCCGGGTTCCCCGGAGCGCCTGCGCCCCAGTTCGCTGGCTTCCCCGGCCCCGGGCCCGCCGCCACAGACCCTCGGTCCGCCGCCGCCACCTGGGCCGCGAGACCCAACCTCCCCAACCCGATGAAACAAATGAAAGCCATGCCCCAACTTCAAGTGACGACTATCGATCTAGACGAAGAACCTCTAGACTGCGTACTTATGAAAGGATTACCGCGGGACGCGACGGACCGGACTATAGTCTCGTTCCTCTCCGACACGGGAGCGGTGCCCGCCCGGATACACCTGATGTTGGACACGAACGGTCTACCGTCAGGGGATTGTTTCTGCGAGTTCCGGTCGCCGCAAGAGGCTAGAATGGCCGCTTCGAAGCACGGCCAAAATTTGGAAGGCTGTCGCGTCACCGTGGACCTGGTGACGAGGGCGGTCGTCGAGGAGGCTCTCGAGGGCCCAAAGCAGCAGCAGGAAATGCAGGAGAGCCTGTTAGGAAACGGTCCGCCGCCTGTTCAGCAACAGTTCTTTGAAGCGCCCCAGAGAGGATTCGGGCCACGCGGGCCCTATCGCGGTCGCGGTGGATTCGATAACAGAGGGGGATTCGAGGGTCGCAACTTCGATTCGAACCGGGGAGGATTCGACCGCAATTACAACAGAGGCGGGTACGAGGGTCGAGGGAGCTTTCGCAGCCGAGGCTACGATCGCGGCGGCCGAGGTTTCGATCGAGGTAGAGGAAGGGGCTTCGGTCGCGGCCGCGGCGGAGGCGGTGGAGGTGGATTCGAGAACGGAAGAGATCAGATCAGACAGGAGGACGACAGCGACCCCACTCTGGAAGATTTCGGCGCGCCCGGCTGCGTAGTGTCCATGGAGAACGTTCCCTTCCGCGCGTCCATCGATGACATCCTGACATTCTTCTCTGAGTTTGAGTTGACTCAGGATGACGTCATCAGGCGGTACAACGAGCGCGGCCAGCCGACGGGCGACGCGCGCGTGGCGTTCCGAACGCCCTTCGACGCGCAGCGCGCGGTCAAAACGCGCCATATGGACACCATCCACGACAGACGGATCAACCTCATGATTCTATAGCATCCGCGACGAGCTCGGAGCGATTCGGACTCTGACGTTGAAATGGCGTATTTGTAAATTCACACATGTGGTAACGTCACATTGTGTGAATTTACCCCACCGTGTACCGCGGGAAAGACTGTTTTGTTTCGTGATTGTATGTGACATAGTATGTATAATCAACACTTGTGTGATTTCGATCGCAAAAAATGGACTTCGAAATTTTATGTTAAGAATTTAGTATAATTATTATTAATAAAGTATGGAGGTACTTTAAATAAAAATATATTAATTAACAATTGTGTCGTTTTATTTAATTATCATGACATGAACCAAGCAAGGTCAGTTACAAACAGTATCTTCTGCATTAATATAGGTTACTTACTACTAACTCTCTATTTAACGATATGGAGTGCTAAACTGTCATCATAGTCTACAAGGTGTACAAGTTGCTCTCCTTTAGTTCAGCCTTCCAGCAATACTTTGTGAGGAATTCTTACCACGCATTTACAAATACCTTTTCATTAATGAAAATCAAGTAAGCAAGTCAAATTCACATCACTTAATAATAAGAAAACAAGAGTTTGTGATAAAATCTTTTTATTTTCAAGATGTACCATTTAACAACATTACAGACACACATGTTACTGCGATTGCAAACAAACGCAGATTTTTATAACAAATTGTTGAGAAATCGAAATAAGTTGGCAAATTTTACAAAAAGTTTTTTAATTAATCTCCAAGTGCAACATTTGTTCGAATACTAGAAATTCTTCAAAAATGCGGTAGGATGACATTTAAACGAATTTTATTAGCTAGCAACGTTAAACGTTATATTTTTATAAGCGTAGTACAATACCCAAAATTTAAGTACGAAACTCGGAAGTTATCTGCGACTGAGATAGCTAAAAAATATACATAAGACAGTCACCAGCATAAAAAGTAACATTTCATCAGATTTAAAAAACCGCTTTCAATAAGAGACCTAAAATAGAGTGAGAATATTATTACTTTAAGCATTAAACTGCCACATTTATAAATCTAAAGAATTTTTACTAGAAAAAAATCCTCTATCCAAGCATCGGGTAGGATTCGAACTCAATTTTACTTTATTTTTAGACAGGAAAAAGACCAGTTCAGTCTAGCTATTCTTTATTTTTGCTTCAGAGTTACGCACTTAATGAGTATCATATCTAAGTCAATAAGAACTACTTTGGCAAAAAGTATAAAACTACTTTTTAATTCTAGACACGTGTCCATTTTAACTTAATTCGTAAATTGAAATAACCTATTTCATATCAACACAATTTCATCTTATGTGTAGAAAATTTCCTTCAGAATTACAGCATGAAATAGTTTTAAGCATAGTTAAATTATATAACATTATTTGTTGAATTTGGTCGATTTTTATCGACCAATCGAATCGATCGAATAACGAATCAATGAGATTACATTTTTGGACATTAATATCATTTATAAACACTGTGACATCATTTGTGAATCTCATTTTTCCCCATTTAAGCAAAAATTCATATTCTGCTGTCAAATAAATAGATTTGGAGAAAAACTTAGAATTGGTAAGAAGTTATCTTTTAATAAGTTAAAAATATTAGTTTGTACGGGCCATCAAAAATTTATGATGCATGTAAATTGTATAAATATAAAAATAAAATTATACGAACTTTTCAATGTAACGTGGAAGATGATAATTGGAAAAACCTACTGTACTCTAGTGTATATAGAGAAACGACCCATATATATTGCAAAAATATAGACAGACATACTGATTCTATGTTGGAACTTCACTTAATCTTATTTCAAAAATTAAATTACATATTATAATTTAAAATATCTATAAAAACTACAGAGTGGAGTAATCAACAATTACAATTCAAAGAGTTACATTATCAGTTAGTTAATAGATCAGAGAATTCAGCAACTGCTATACCGCAACTTAATCTTTTAAAATCAAACATTTCACACAGCATTCTGAACTCTCTTTCATCACAGTTAAGACTCACAGTAAAAAACGAAGCAAGGTATTATTTCTTCAAAGGATATTATGTCTTATTAGTGCCAATAAAGGTCAATATGCCATGAGATTAATTTTTACAGTTTTGCACTGCCAATGTAGATTTTGCAACGACAAGTATTATCTTAACATACAATATTATAACAAACCTTTTCAACATAGCAGAAAGGGAGTCTCTTTTAATACGTTTGTGACAAAATTCAGGTTTATTTCAAATAAAAAAACGAAAAATTATTGTATAATTCGAATTATTATTGCAATTATATAATTAATTAATGAAGACGCCCTTTCTATGACTATGTATTGGAAGACTCCGTTGCACGAGATTCTTGAAATCATTGACCAACATTTTATAAGAAGATACACTTCAGAGCACTGTTTATAAAACATATTTAGCTAGCAATATAAACAAATTAATTTCACTGGGATTAGAATAAAGTTGCTCCTACACCCGTTTCAGTTATCACTGGTCAAGGCTAACTAACAGTTACCTACATATTATAATGTTATTGGAAATTAAGCGATCTTTCACTTGGTAAAGCAGTTTTATAACATAAATAAATAAATATAACAAGAAACCCACGCAAAAGAGCCTCCGACCTAACACTACGATACAGATTTACAAAATATACACACTCTTCTTTAGCAATAAATAATAACAGCTAGTTTACCATTAATATCATGAGTTACCATTTTTTGCTTACACTATTACTAAGAAGTATACAGATTATCTCAAAAGAATTATATTTCCTCAATAAACTTTGAACTTAACATGAAACATATTATAGTTGAAAATTAATTGAGGATAATTTTACATTTTAGGATAACCTAATCGAAATTGTTGACGTTAGACCACTTTTGAAGCCAATATCTAATGCTATGTGATTGCAAATTGCCATACCAAAAGTGGCATACCATCAACTCTTTCAACTGATGTAGCCACAGTCTCACAAAACTTTAAATAGTGCTATGGAATTCAGAAACAATTATGTTTATTTAAAAAACTTTTTAAATGTTCTGAGTGACATTCTAAGTTAAGAGCTCTAGAATCAAAACCTGGTAACATTACTCGTGTGACCCTGCACAATGTTGCCATCCTGCTTAAATACGCCTAAAGCGAAACGAAAACATTGTGAAATAATGTTTAAGGGCTTTTTCTTTCAACCACTGGCCGATAGAAGAATAAGCGTTGTCAATTTCATTACAACTTTATTTTAGTACATTTAAAGGAGCTATTGGTGACGATTCTAGCATGATTTTCTAAAACTAAAATTTAATGTGACAACAGTGTATCCTTGTCATTCTCTATACAGAATTAAAAGGAAAGACTGGTGTAAAATTAAGTTTTTAGTTAAGAGAATCGCGGCTGAATCGCCACCATTGTATTGCATAGCTGTTTTGGTAAATAAAGGCGTAAATAGCTTGCACTGTGTCTCGACAGTTTACAGTATTTCTTACAATTACTAAGATAACAGTTCAAGCTATTATCACCTTTGTAGTATGCCGCAGTTAGAAAAAGTTTATCTATATATTTTTTTTCATTAATATATTGTCACAAGCGGCTGTAGGTATAGTTATTCAGACTATGTGGTCCCAGAGTTCAAGAGAAATAAGATACTCAAACATATTCGATACCTGTATACAATACAAGTATCAAATTGGTTCGATAAAGTTAAGTATATACACAACTACATATAACTACGTTCTGTCGCTTGACACAAGAGGTGAAATTATAAATATGCAGACAAGCAATCAATATTTTCTGGTACAGAATTTTATTACCTTAGTTATAACTTGATATTCATAATTTTAGAGGACTATCTGTCGATTCTGCTAGCAAAACTAAATGATAAGAAGGTTTTATCATGTTATGTAGAGGTACTTTATAAACATATTTTTATTAATTGCAAAATCAGTTTTAAATATTATAGTTAATATTACGGAATTGTTACGCGTTAATAACAGCTATAATATACCTACATGGTATAATGTTAGTGACCATGATAGTTTTAAATAGTTGTTATTTAAATCTAAAGAAATTTTTACTAGTACTCGAACCCGCACCCTTCGCTATCAGGGCGAATGTACTGACCATTATGCTACCGCGGCCCTGAGGGTCGTGTCGAATTTTCTTTAGCCTTTCTTAAGCCGCAAGGCTGCATCTCTTCGCATTGTAGGTAACCCACAATTTTCTTTAGATGCAAACATCTAGCAGTTACATGATTAAAAAATATAGAGCTATATTAAAAATAAATGCAAATTGGACGAATCATTGTAAAAATAAATAAAAGCTTGGCATCATACTCTTACATCATATGAAATTACTACGTAGTAATCATCATCATGTGAATTTCCGTAATATATAGGTACTTTTATACATATGCAAAACCATGAAAATATAACGAAATTCAATTTTCGACATTTTTTTAATACCCAAACCTGCACTGAATATGTTTAGCCTCTTGTGGCAAGTACAGAAATCTGTTAAAGAAAAAAATATTAAATATCTAAGATGCGAAAATATTTGATCCAAAATACACCTTATACACATACATATATTAAAACAGGCACAGGTGTATTTCAACTTGCAGTCTATTGGAAAGTTAAAAGAATACATCGAAAAAACTGTGTAGATAAAATATATGCTTAAAAACGTTATTGAGCCGTAAAAGTATCTACACTTCGTCACTGCAATCGGACAGAAAATAGATAAAGACGAAGCATAGGATTCGCACAAGAGTGAGCGAGACGGCGGGAACATAAAATTAGAATAGAAAAAATATACATCTTTTGTATACAACGTGTCATAGAAATAACACCAAAACCTGAACATTTATGAGAAGAAAATTTTTTTAACATCAGTTCAAAAAAGTTATAACTAAATTATTTTATTATAAATTATTACGATGCTAAAGCGTTAGCCACTATAATCAATTCCAGATAACATTAAAAAAAAGAAGCAAGGTTTCAAAACCTTTTCAAGTCGTGTATGCTGATGAAATATGATGATAATAATTTTTGATATTATCTACACCCAGATGACTGTTATGTTATTTATTTAGTATTACCTATTTGTGTGACTTTCTACAATTATTGGAAGTGGGTCAAATTATACAACATAATAAGAATATTTTTTATGACCAAAAAAAAACAAAGGGAATGTCAAGATTTTCAAGTAAGGCGCGTTCCGTACTTGATGACAAGCGACACGATGATCCATCCGGTAAAATCTAAACGTCATAATTTC